GTGCTGTTGTAAAGGAGAAAGGTTTATCCACATGCGGGCCATCTGGAAGATCAGGGACTCATGTCTCAAAGCCCATCTTAACATCTCAGTGCAAGCAGAGGTTTCTATAAGGAGGGAGAGGGAAAGCAGAACAAAGAGATCAAGGCGAGGGGTTGAAAAGTTCTGTACACACAAACGAGCACAGTCCATTCTGACAAGACAAGTGATGGTCTGGTGTGCATCATCTTGGCTCCACACTGAAGGTCAGCAAGTCTTCCAGAGCTGGAATGTCTGAAGATCAGAGTCTATCTTTTGAATAGGTCCTAGGATTCCTATACATTCATGCTGTTCATCTGCAAGCTACATATTAGTCTGAGTCAGCATTTACAGAAACAATGTCAAAAGAATGGTGGGGTGGGTTACAAGTCCTCACTGTTACAATTCCCCACTGTTACACCTTCTTGGAGACTTTGTAACCTGTGTTAGTACCTAAGGTCACTAATGGGCAGAGAGATCAACAGTTAGGTAAGAGCTAAGTAAAACATTTATGGGTGCTGGTGAAGGAGCCATTACAACCTGGGCTACATCACTTGGTCAATATATAGTCCAGCTTTGTTTCAGAGCAAAGCATCTTTCTAGGTTGTAAAAGACACTGTGCCTCAAACATTTTATAGTTTTTAATGGCCCCCAAAGTGGAATTCATAGACATATTTTGAGTGCCTACTATGCGTAGCACTATGCTTGGGGACAGAGAGTCCATTCACAACCGTCACTGTGAGCTAATAATCAGATGGAAATACCTAAATAATACAGAACAAAATATGAACTGCAAAAAACATACTTATAATGTGTACCTTTGTTTTCCTTGAGGTAATTAGTGCCAGGCAAATAAAAAAGACCTTCAATATGGGCTCATTATTGTCAACAAAAGGAATGTGCTTTGATCAAATAAGAGAAGGGAACAATTTATTCTGACTGAGAAGCTTGGGGAAGGCCTCAGGGAGAAAGTGTTACTGGCCTTGAAAAATGAGTAAGCTTCGATTGAGGGAGCGGGAGGAGGCATGGAAGACTGAAGAAGCAGCTTGAGCAGAGGCAGGGGAGTGTGTGCGTAACCTGCGTGTTCAGAAGATGTCAGGAGACTATAGCTGCATGTAGGTTTCATACGGACAACAGTGGGAGAGGAGGGCGTGAACGTGAGCTGGAGCCCATCGTGAGGGCATGAAGTGACAGAATGAAGCTTGCATTCTATTTTCTGAATAATAGGGACGTTTGTGAAGAATGGAGTAGTATTTTCACTTCACTCTTTTTGAAAATAATCCTGAGGATAGTGCAAAAGGATGAATTTAGAGGGTGAAACTGGACACAGGGACCGTAGGCTAGGAAGCACTTATAGCAAGCTCGCGGAGTACTTCAAGAAATGAAGCCCTCACTTAAGACAGTTACTGAGAAAATGAAAGAGCATTCCAAGGAGCCAGAGACCACTCACCAGGAAACTAATTTATTGTCTGCTGGGAGTGGCAGGAACTGAAAGATAGAATGAAAGAATCGATGGTTGTAGCCAGGGTATTTGGGGAGAAGATGATAGATACTGGATTCCGTGATAAGACTGGAATTTCTGGAAAATCTCATGTTTTAGTTTCAGGGTCATGCCTGGCTATAAAATATTAATGGCATTTTCCACCTCCTTTCAGTATTACAAAGCATACTTTTCTATTTTCAAGACATAAATGTATTTGATAAAACCAAATTATTCAAAAGAGATCTTAGAATGTCCTCAAATGGAGCCCACACCTATGCCCTCTGTAGCTTGAACTTATAGGAGAGGCAAAACTTTACCTCTGCCCATCTTAGATTTTTAGTTAGACCTCTAACAAAAAGAAAAATTAATAAAAGAAAACCACACAGAAATTTATTAATATGCAAATTTCATGTATGCCTGCAAGACACTCAGGAAAAAGGAGTAACTCAAAGAGATGACTTTTAGAATTCAGGATTAAGTATCATTTTTTAAATTTACTTTTATTGTCTTTTTTCCATTACCACTTAGTCCCCTTATATCTCTGTCCTCCTGTAATCACCACACTGTTGTCTGTGTCCATGAGTCCTTTTACCTTTTTGCTCATTTCCTCCCTGCCCTAACCTACCCCTCCCTTTCAGCTGTCATCCTGCTCTCCATCTACGTGTCTGTCTCTGTTTTTCTTGGTAGTTCAGTTTGTTCATTAGATTCTACATATGAGTGAAGTCATATGGTATTTATCTTTCTCTGACTGGCTTATCTCACTTAACATAATGTTCTCCAGGTCCATCCACACTGTCTCAAAGGGTAAAATTTTCCTCTTTTTTTATGGCTGAGTATTATTCCATTGTATAAATGTCCTGTAGTTGTTTTATCCACTCATCTACTGATAGACACTTGAGCTGTTCCCAAATCTTGGCCATTGTAAATAACATAGCAATGAACATAGGAGTGCTTATATTCTTTTGAATTAGTGTTCTGGGTTCCTTTGGGTATATTCCCAGAAGTGGGATCACTGAGTCACAAGGCAGATCTTTTTTTAGTTTTGTAACCATGGATGGAAAGACCTGTGCTTGGAAAATTATAAGACATTGAAGAAAGGAATTGAAGAAGATACAAGTAAGTGGAAGCACATACCATGTTCATGGATAGATTGAATTAACATCATTAAAATGTCCATACTACCCAAAGCAATCTAGAGTCAATGCATTTCCTATAGATTCCAATGGCATATTTCACAGAACAAGAACAAATATTTCAAAAATTCACATGTAACCACAAAAACCCTGCATAGCAACAGCAATCCTGATAAAGAACAAAGTTGGAAGAATCATGCTACCCAATATGAAACTATACTGTAAGGCAACAGTAATCAAAACAGCATGGTACTGGCATAAAAATAAACACAGATCAATGGGACAGAATAGAGAGCCCAGAAATGAACCCACACTTTTATAGTCAATTAATATTTGACAGAGGAAGCAAGCACATACAATGGGCTAAAGATGGTTTATTCAATAAATGGTGTTGGGAAAATTAGACAGATGCATTCAGAAAAATGGAACTAGACCACCTTCTTACATCACACACAAGAATAAATTCAAAATGGATTAAAGACTTAAGTGTTAGACCTGAAACCATAAAAACTATAGAAGAGAACATAAGCAGCAAAATCTCAAACATTGCTCATAGCAATATTTTATCATACATATCTCCCCAGGGAAGGGAAACAAAAGAAAATAAACAAATGGGACTATATCAAACTGAAAAGTTTGGGCACAGCAAAGGAAAACATCAACAAAATAAAAAGACAACCCACAGAATGGGAGGACATATTTACCGATACATCTAATAAGGGGTTAATATCCAAATTTATAAAGTCAACGCCAAAAAAACAACCCGATTAAAAAATGGGCAAAGGACCTGAATAGACAACTCTCAGAAGAGGACATACCTATGGCCAATAGATATGAAAAGATGCTCGGTGTCACTAATCATTAGAGAAATGCAAATTAAAACACAATGAAATACTATCTTACACCTGTCAGAATGGCTATCACCAATAAATCAACCAACAACAAGTGCTAGCAAGCATGTGAAAAAAGGGGAGTGCTTTTGCACTGTTGGTGGGAATGCAGACTGGTGGAAAGCAGTATGGAAATACCTTAAATATCATTTTATAGGGAAAGGGGAGGAGATGTAGCCCTCATAGGAGAGAAGAAATCATTTTTAAGAAAGGTGAATATACCCTTAGAAGAATCAATGGTTTGTGTGATAGTTTGTGACAAAGTTTGTCTGGGTGTGATGTTGGCTTCTGGTCTCCTCTCCTGTGATAATACTGGGCAGGGACCTGGCCCTGAGTGGGTCTGCCCAGGGCCAGTGTGAGAGTTCTTGACTTTGTGTAGGAAAGATGACTTCACAATATGAGTACAGGTAAGTATGAGGATACATTTATTAAAGGTGGGGACAGTGAAACAAGGGAGGGCTTAGCATAGAAGAAGCTACAGGAGAGCCTAGGCTGGGCTGCCTTACTTAGCTCACTGTGAAGTCAGAGAAAGGGTGACTTTGGGGACAGGTGCAGGGGATTAGCCTGGGACAGGCTGCCAGCTGCCCATTGCCTTAGAGTTTAGGAGAAGCTGTATGCCTGTGAAGAAAGAAGTGGCTGGGGGAGAAGGAAGGAAAGGGAGAACATGGAAAACATGCACTGGTCCTTTGTCTTCAGGCTTTATCTCTTTCTTGCAGGAATCTTAGGGGAGGTCTCAAGGGAGGCTTTCAGCCGAATATTCATCAGTTCTCCACATGTGCCCTTTCAGGGTCATGGTCTCCATTGATTGGTCAGTGACAGGGCTGGGGATCTTTAGTCATTGCAGTTGGGCCTGACATCATCCTCTTGGTTTTGCTGCTTTTCTGGGCCTGGAGCTGAAATACAGCTGAGGGCTAGATGGTATCTCCAGGGAGGAAAGTTGACCCTCCAGGCCAGGTCCCTGTTTTCCCCCGATGTTGCCCCCTGCCAAGCACTCAGGGCCTTCTGCCCTGGTGACCATCTGCACCTGGCTGTAAATTGCTTGGCCAGTTTGATCAGCTGTCTGTCTCAGTTTCCCTATTCCACTTGCCAAGAAATTTTCGTAGCTTCTTACTACCCTGTCTCATGATGCTCCCTGGTTGATGAAACTCCCTGGAGGAGGATTAATGACAATAGAGATCCTTTTGGAGGATATATCTTTAGGCAAATTAAGGAAGTTCAGAGAAAGCCAAGTGCCTACAGTTTATGATAATCAGTATGCCTAAGTGGCATATTTTGGGGTGGTCTGTGCTGCTGCCCTTCAAGTTAAGCCAGCAGCCTAGGAATAACTGTATCAGACACTCACAGAAAGTATTTGTAACAGCAATGCCTCAGAGAGCTGATGTGTGTAAGGTTTTTCTGAGCCTTGAGCTGCTGCTTCTTGAAAATACATTTCGCCTCTTTCATGTTCTCTTTTTTTTCTTCCCATGCTTACACTTTTAGAGGAAGAGTCCGGTAAGAAATAACAATTCCTTTCCACATGTTGGCTAAATATTATTTATTGTTTATTTTCATCATCTGCATTCTTAATAATTGACTGTATTTAACAACTAAACAAAATTTTAAATTTTAGAACAAACCTTTGTGAACCAGGACCAGGTCTAATTGTATCCTATGGGGAAAAAAGGAAGTTGATAAGTGATTTCACCAGCTAGTTATGAAGGGCCACAGAGTAATTTTGCAGAGGTTTACCTCAGCCTCAATCACAGGCATATGACCAAATATTTCAGGTATTGAATTTCATTTATTGCAGCATTTGCTTGAATTAGTCAAGCTGCATGTACATACCATGAGCTAGGCAAAAAAATTTTAAGGCAATTTTTGTTAATGTACAACATGATAGCATCTATCTTGTATGAATGATTGTGAAGCTGGCCTAGAAAAGGGAAGTTACTTTTTTCTCAGTTAATCAGAAAATATCTTCATAGGATAATTGCCAGAGGGAATAAGGAATGGGGGGAGTGGAAGAGGGCAAAGGGGAGGTAAATGGTGGCAGAAGGGGACTTGATTTTGGGTGGTAAGTGCACGATGCTGTGGGCAGGTGGTGTGTTGTAGAGTTGTACACTTGAGACCTTCATGGTTTCAGTAACTGGTGTCACCCCAGTCAATTCAATTTTTTAAAAATGTAGGGCAAATGATAAGAATATAGAAAATAAAAGCAAACCCATTAAAAAATATCTCCTTTTGGGTTTGTTACAGACAGAAAAAGAGAATTTTTATAAAAGTGTAAATCAATTTTTATAAAAGTGTAAATTTGCCCACCAGTGGGCAAATTTTAGTGTCAGCACAATTCTGATATGATGTGCCTCTATCATTTTTAATCTTAGAACAACATTCAATGAAAGTTTATTCTGAGAATTTTTTTACTCAAAAACAAAAAATTTCACTGTTCTCTTCTCAGCTGCGGCTTATTGGGAATATGACACAGATGACCTTGCCACTGGAAAATATAAAAATACTGTGTTTCCATGTTAACGAGCACCAAAAGTGCTTGGCTGATTCTATGCAACTCACCTTAAGTGGATGCTCCAATGATGCCATAACCTCTCATCCTTCCCCGTTGATTCAAACCTGGCATATTCTGAAGCACCTACAGGATACACACTTGTAGCAAGGCCATGTGATAGGAAGGAGGAGGAACAAAAGACACAGGAAGAACAAAAAATGGGATCAGAATATTACTTTATCAAAATATGGATCCAATGTCTCTGTTTCCCAAAGTAAAGTCAGCACCTGTTATGAGTATTGTTATTCATACTAAGCTAAATGGCCCACTTCTGAGTAATTGAGAGTCAATTATGTATCACATGCTATGTGGCATATGATATTGTTGGTGCATTTTAGTAACTGTTCTTCATATTTTGCCAATTCCCTTATTCTCCTTAACCCTGAATATTTCTCTGAATCATCCGAATTTGGTTACTTCAAACAATAACAAGAATGTGTGGCCTAAAGTTCACCCAGGGTCCTTTTCAAATCCTGTTTCTCACTGGTTTTCCTCCCATTGTCCTGAGAGCAATTTTAACTGCAAGTACTCCTTTTCATTTTTAGTTCCATATCTTCAAGAACAAGTCCTCCTCCCACTCCCTTGCTCGTTTTTTCTTTGGAAATGTCATCTTGTTCATTGCTTAATCTGGTCAATTTGTAGTGATATCTTTGTTTAGTGATCTTTTTGTTTCTCTTGGCAAATGGAGTTTCAGAAGATCAACTCAACCAAATCCTATTAGACATGATAGGTATTCATTGTGATCTGATGTGTAATAGCTATAATTTAAATACATGTAATAGAAACAAATTTAACTATAGACAAACACCTCCAATGGGAGGATGGCAAACAGGGGCTTTCCAGAGAGTCTGTCTTTACCCTAAAGCTTTAAAAACAAATAGGAATATTGGCTAGGATCAAAATAATAGAATAATCGTATACACTAATTCTTTCCTAGGAAATTCTCTAACATGGCTCACTGAATTTGCTATGACTGGACTATTTAAAATATCTATTTGGTGTTTTATAGCTTTTCACACATTTTTCTGTTTCCCCATGGCACTGAATTTAACAAATGAGGATGTCATAAAGCTTCAAACCCTGAGGCTGGTTATTTAATGATTTTGATGAGCAAGACAGATTATATTTGGCTACCTTTTCAAATAAATATCTGAAAACACTGACCTTCATTGGCTAAAACTAAGCTATTTTAGTTAACTGAATTTATATTCTTTTGTACAAAAAAAAATAACAAAACAAAGCTGATGTGGAGTAAGGACACTGTAGGTACTACAAGGACATAGGCTCAGGTATTTTTTGTAGGGACTTATATCCATATCATAAATTATATAAATTTTACAAATGAAACATTTACAAATACAAGGAAATATCTTTATTCTAGAGATCAAGTTATAACTTAAGTAGTATTTACTCACTTTAAAACAGCCCCAAAATATAAAAAGTTATCTCTGAGGTGAACACCAAAATAAAAATAAAGAGAAAAATAAACTTTTTCAAAACCTCCCAAATTTGTAAGATGATCAAGGGAAATCTTGGAATTGAACAATGAATGTTTAATTAGGAATGCAAGAAATTTGTTCAGAAAAAGGAATAGACCAATTTGAGTAATCAGGTGAAGTAATAAAAACAGCAGATGAAATTTACAGAGAGCTTATTTTATGATACACATGCCCACAATCAGAAACAAATTGGCCACCTGCAGATTCTGAGCCTGGGTAAGTGGTTTGTTTGGTTGTGCAGTTAAAAACAGTTTTGGTCTGCATTTAAAAATCAGAACATCAGAATTAGAAAAATCATATTGTGCATTTTTGTTCAATAACTCTGAGCATCTGGGAATACTAGGCCTACATTTTTGCATGGCAGGCACAGATGCACCCGAGTAGTGGGCAGTTCACCAGAGCTTCGTGAAACACATGGGCCCTGCACACAGTAGCCCTGCTCCTTGCCCTGCACACATCTGAGTTTTAGACCAGATGCTGAATGAGTTTCCTTCCACCTTTGAAGAAAATCTCTTGGTGGAACAAATATAGAATGCTAAAGGCTTTGGAGGTCATGGAGAATGACAGAAGAAACAGTAAAATAAAATTTTTAACAGGCAAAGATCCCCACCTCTTGGCTGATAAAGATTTTGCTGTCCTTGACTTTGGCAGTGCCTACAGCTCGCTTATGCTCCTTAATGGTGATAATTAACATAGATAATTAATTCCTTTCTATTTAACTTCTGGAGTTCTCTTTCTTTTGAAGGTTTCAGATACTGTTAATTATGGACCTTGAGGCTTTCTGTATCTGACTTTTCCTTAGCTTGTAGTGGGTGTTCTGGATTCTGGCTAATGAACTTGACTACGTGACCACGTGAATTTGAACAGCTGTTCTTTGAGGAAGGCATTTTGCAAATAGAGTTTCCAAAATGCTATCTTATGAGATTGTCTTCTATTAGAAAAAATATAGGAACTATTGTTTAAAATTTAGGTTTTTAACTCACTAGAGATTAAAATATGACAATTTGGGTAGATTAACACATTGAAGTTATTTCAAAAAGTGTTCTCTATATATTATATTAATAACAGTTTTTGAATTTGATTTCTGTTTCTTTATGGCTACAGTCAGCACTTTATTTTGCATTATTTCTCATAATTTTATCTTGGGGGAGCTTGTGTCACTTTTAATCCCCCCTTTTGCTTTATTTTATGCTATTTTTAAGAATGAATTGTTGTCCTGCCTGGTGCGGTTCAGTGGATTGAGTGCTGGCCTGCGAACCAAAGGGTCACCGGTTTGATTCCCAGTCAGGGCACATGCCTGAGTTGCAGGCCAGGTCCCCAGTTGGGGGCATATGAGAGGCAACTACACATTGATATTTCTCTCCCTCTCTTTATCCCTCCCTTTTCCTCTCTCTAAAAATAAATAAATAAAAATCTTAAAAAACAAAAAGAATGAATTGTTTGCCATGAAATTGAAGCTAAAATTATAAATTCCCACATTCTTTTCTTAAAGGAGAATGTGAGTCTGGTCATTAAAGAATTATAAAGCCTAAATCTTCATATAAAAGAGTATTTGAACTTCTCTGAAAATACAGTAAAAATTAGTTAGTAAAAGAATTTAAGCCCAAAAATAGGTATTGTGTCCTTTTTTCCTAATTTTATTTAAATTACCTCCATGCACAAAGACAGATTTGTAAGAGAGATGAAATCAATATGGAGCAGTGTCTGGAAAGTAAGGCAAATAAAGTCTAAACTCTTATAAGTAAAATGGACTCTATCAATATTTCTAAATTCTTGGCTACTTAGAAAATATATCTGAGGTAACCATTCCTGGACATCAGCCACAAGGACTTTTGCCTTTTAGGAGTCCTCCAACAGTGTCACACTTGGTGTCCAAGGAAGAACACAATAATGGGGGATTATAGATCTACATTCTGTCTCTGATTCTACCCATTTGCTGGCTGTGTATCACAGAACCTCACTTTCCCCTTTATATGATCAATGCAGCTGGCCTAGATATCCATGGAGGCCTCTCCGATATAAAAACTATAGGTTTTCATTTCCTTCCTATGTTCTGGAGAGCAGAACCATCCTCTTTATTTGAGCAACCTTCTAGTTATTTTTATATTTGTGCTCCTGGCCCAGATTTGGAGGTGTGGCCAATACAGGGTCCTGGGTAGTCTGGTAAATTCATGGGTTAGCGCAATATTCTGAAGGTGAAATTCTAAGCATCATCTCTTTCCTCACTGGTATCATAGTCACTCTTATTACTACAGAACAATTCTAAGGAGGGAAAGTTATCAGAGATTGTTGAGGTAAATTGATAGCCATTGTCAAAGTGTAAGGAATGAAAGAGAAGTAGTACGTCTGCTGCTTGTGGTTTTCCAGATGTCGTCTGGTCCACCAGTATTCTACTGGTGCTGGACAATTTCATTTCCAATCTGTGTTTAGCAGGGGCACCTCATCTTCCCCATCACATTTCTACTCACTGGTAGAGGCTGCCCGAACCACCAGGCCAAGAACACCTAAAATGAAGTCCTCATCAGCACACATTCCATATAACACTAGTGAAAAGAGTCAGGCAAAGAAGAGGTCTGTCTAATCCTGGTCTCTGACTTTTGGAGGCTCCAATTTAGGCCCTAATTATGTGGGAAATGCGTCATTCTTATGATGCTTGTTAACACCCTTTTGTGTGAGGGATTAGTTTTCTCTTTATTACCTATGCTCAAAAACTCCCCTCCCTAAAAACTCCTCATGCCAAGATATCAAAATTCCTTGTAGATTTCCACCTTGGTCTTGTGAGCAAATAACTTGAAACTAGTAGATCTCCATGAGCAAAGCTATATTATATTGAGATACAATGGACAGATTCTCTTTAGAGTTCTCCAAAACCTCCTTATCTTTTAAATGAGCCACAAACACAATAATTACCCATCTTCCTTTGGCCTGATTACTTAGAGTGAATGTTTGGTTAGCTGTTTAGGAAGCCTTCCGTTACCCAAGCCTGTTGACTGATCCATCATTCTCTGACTAGGTGTCTGTTCTCTCTTCCTTTTTGCTGATCACAGAGGCGCAGCCCGGTAAGAACTCTCAACATTTTTACCTTAAACATGTATAGAGAAAACTGCTGCCAAGGCCAGGTGGCCAGGTTGGCTTCTCATCAAATGTATGATAGCCCAGTATGAATGACTGAGGCAGGTGAATGCTGTTTACTGGTTGGAAGTGTCTGGTACTATATGTGTCAAGAACATATTTTAAGATTATAAGAGCAATTTTCCGTAACAAACTAAATTAACATATCCTAACTTGTAGGGCTAAATTTTAAAGATGGGGGTGGGGGGAGTTGTATAAGTGCAAGGTCTAGAGATTGGCCAGAATTCACCATAGAATTTATAGCAAAGTGATACTGAAGATTAAGAAAAGTATAAGGAAAATGAGGAAATAATTTTTAAAGCACATGGTTTTTAAGCCTGAATTTGAAATAAGTCCCTGGACCATGAGTTTCATTGTTCAGTATACACTGATACATAATAATGCATAATCACAGTTTCCATATGAGAGGACAAGATATGCTTTCAAGTCAATATGCCTGGGCTGTCACATAATTCTGTATGTCATCACTGAAGAAAAATCAGTACTAGTTTACATTGTTCAAAATAAAATCTCAGTCATTTTCCTCAGGCTAAAGGATATAATGTATTCAAAGCAATAAAATAAGGGTCTTTGCTATGTTTGAAATGATCCTCATCTGTCTGGTCAGTCCCTTGAAAGAGGAAATGGAACTGAAAACGATGCCTCTGAAATATCCCTAGGTCTGTGTCAGTTCAATTAATCAATTATTATTTGAGGCAAATACTCTGCTCTAGCTGAGAAACTGGCGGTTCTCTGTTTGAACCACTTGGCTGAGGATCAAAGAAAACAATACCTGCAGGTGTGGATCATCTCAGTTAACATCTCAGATTATAAATTACTCTTTAAAAAAAAAAGAAAGTGAAATAACCAACTCAAAATGAAGGAAATTTATTCACAATCTACCAATAATGTTAATCATTGAAAGGAAAATGGGGTCACTTGGTGAGGAGAAGGTTTCTGAGTTCAGTGGGCTTTTTTCCCCAAATGTGGTTTGCATGGTCGACATCGCCTTAAACTTGCTTTGGATTTGTCATGCTGCAACATCAAGGCCATCAAAACCTGTATGCCGGATCCAGCTTACAATGGGACTTTCTTTTCTGTTGCTGCTGACTTGCTGCTGCTCAGTCGAATATCTGTTCCTTTCTAAATTGATCTTATTTTATTCTTCCTAATTTCTAAACAAGAATTTTCTTGCCTATTTCTGCCATGTCTTCCTGCCCTTAATGAGTGATTGTTCATTCATGAGGAGTATTTACTAAAAATGTTACAGGGGCTTCTGTGTAGGGCCTCCTAACAGTAACTCTATTGAATGGACACACCAGGAATCAATGAATACAGAAGCAGCTTTGCACCTTTCTTGGTGTCACAAGTATCACATTTTTAATGAAAGGGTAAGATAGAGAGACTGACAGCTCTTCAGTACAGCCTCTGCGGCCCTCTACTTCTGGGTCTCAATCGCATAGCACTGGAGGGGCGCTGTTCCCTCAATGCCGACCTATGATTGACTACTTCAAATTAGAGCTGCAGGGCCTCTTCCTTCAGACCTTATTAATAAAAATATGACCAGCTGAGGCTCCATACCTAGAAAAACATTTTAACACCATTTAACAATTTGTTCTGTTGTTATTTTTGTTTATACAGTCTTATTTTCCATAAGCCAACCTGTATCCAAACTCCTGTAATGACATAGCTGGTGTAAATTACCATATTTATTTTAAATGTTTATTTATAAAGTTAAATACATATTAATATAATTAAATTTATTGATTTATTATAGTAATAATAAATTTAACTATATATAATTATATATAGTTAAATATTTAATTTATTAAAACTAATAAACTTTATTTTATACGTTTTTACTAATAACATAATAATTCTCTATGTGGCACAGACACAGATTGTGTTATTAAGCAAGACAAGACAGACAGAAAATCTAGTTTGAGAGACTAGACTACTCTCTAGAAAACATCTAGTGGATCCTTGTTCAGATTGAAACTGCTTCTTTATTGTAAATGAGTTCAAAATGAGACAAAAATTCTGAAAAATCCTTAGGAAAAAGAGAAAGAAGATTCTTATAGTGCTATATCTTGCCCTGAGTTATTGATGTTACCATTTGTGAGAAGAAATATATCTACAACCACTAGGCAGAGCCTTTACCAAAGTAGGAAAGTAGAAAAGAATGTTTGTTTGATGACCACCCACCAAGCTCTTGGTCATGCTGTTAGAAATACTTTCCTAGACTTTCACTCCACCCCACAACCCTGCAGCTCCGTCTGCCCTATCATTCTCCTAAGCAGCTCTGCCAGGCCACACTCCACCCATGGTTCTACGTGTTCAGGGGTCTATTTTTCTGGAAGAATCTAGCGCTAAGAACCTTTCACAGGAGATTTTGAATCAACTCTTTTTATCTAATCAGTTCTTCTGTTATCAAAATAAATTTCTGCCAGGGCATTGTAAAAGCTATAAATGGCCTTCTTAGGTTACTTGTGGCTGGCCTACTTGCATCCAGCAGTATCACAGTGCCTTGAGCTAAAGGAATGACCCCCAGTTGGTAGGCCAGTAGGCCAGGTAGCAGGCAAGTGGAAGAAATTGGGGTTGGGGGACCCGCAGGGAGGATGAAATTCCCTGGCTCCTTGCATAGAACAGCTGCAAAATCAGTGGCAATGCCCCTAAGGTTTCCTTTCTTATGACATTTGCCATTTATATCACTAAAAACTTCATTAGTAAACTATGATTATTTCTACTAACTTATGGACCCCATCCAATAAGAGCAGACAGTACTCCTACTATAGTCTATGACTTTCAAAATTCAAGTGTAAATATAATTTGGATTCACTTTCTGGTCTGCTAAACTTCTGTATCATATTTTAATAGAGTATTTAATATTTGCATTAATTTACCAAATCTATACAGGTAAGGGATTTTTGTGGTTCAGGAGACATAATTTACTCTCCATTTCTCTCTATAATCCTAACTAAAATGAAAAATTTACTTATATGAATGTGTGTACAATCTCCAACTTGAATGTGATTCTGAGAAAAATTTCATTTTTCACCATCTGCATTTCTTTGAGTTCAGTTTAATTGCAATAACAGAAATATACATATTGTACATAACATATATGTGGTCTTAAACCTTATAGTGTCTATTTCTAATTCTAGGGTGCAATTAAAAGGAACTTGTCCAGTAAGTATATCTTAGCTACCAAAAATAGAGTACAATTTAAAAGAAGGAATAAGTTCCTTGGATCTTGGAGCCTATATACATTTAACTTATATACTTTGGGGCTTGATTTTTAAGATTTAAAAATATCTTTTACAGAAAAGAAATCTTGTAATGATAAAGGGGTTTAGTGGGTCTGAATGATTAATGTTTAAATTATGAAAATGAATATGTTTTTGGAAAACTTTGCTATTTTCTTCCTATAGTTGTCAACTCTTGCTGTATCATTTGACTTTAGAAATGAAGTTTATCAATTGTACACTTGGTCATGGGGGTGGGGAGAGGAAGGGGGCAAAAGGAACTGAAGATAGATATAACTTAGTCATTCTTGTGTTATTTGATATAAAAATTGTAGTCAGCCAAGGTTATATGCAATAGGTTATAATATATATAGGGCATGATTTTCCTCGGCTGCATACAGCACATTCTAGGCAATTCTAAATTCATGTTTCTTGGTTAAAGGTATAACATTTTCTTGGCATTTTAAGCAAAGGACAAGCAGAGAATGGTGGATTTATGTACTATGTACTTATGGCCTGGCTTAGTAGTCTTTTATGGTAATTGGGAAGCAGACATTTGAAGAATGGCGTGTTACTCCATTAGCTCTACATTATACAAATCATCTATTTGATGGCTCATCATGGTAATTCATTGGTTAATTAAGCTTTACAAATGCCAGAGAAAATGCTACTACATTTTCTATGTAGTAGCATTAATATGAGATTGTTGCATTGCCAAGGGAGAGGGTTTGTTTTGCAAGGCTTTCATGTTGAGTTGCTTATTGATGGGACTCAAATCTCTATGTGTTTCCAAACATAGCTCATAAGACAGGTAAGAAATGGTAAAAAATGCCTAAAAAGTTTCTTTGTCCTGTACATCAGGTGAAGAAGTGGCCAGACCCAGGCGGTCCACACCAACTCCAGAACTTATAAGGTAAATGTGAAAGATGTTGGTTATGTCTTATGCAAAGCATCATCCCCACTGCTAACAATTTAGCCAGTCTCATTTGAGCTAAACTCTCAGGTCCTATTTTAAAAAGGACCTGCCCATATGTGTAAGTCCAGGGCATGATTCAAATGTTATAATTTCTTATGAGTGCAGCCTGAGGGAGACCTTTAAGAAAGTACTCTGTAGTCATCTACAGTAATTGTCTACCAGAATGTGCAGTCCTCTCACTAATGGGATGGTTGAAAGTCTATATGAGGAGGTCCTGTGGGGTCTGGAATGCTGAACTGAAATACCACTACATTTTCTTACGAAGAGTAGCCTGTTTAATTGGATACAGTTTCATGATACATTCCACCTACCACATACCAAAGGAATCTTCTGTTTTTGTTTTCGGCAAAACATTGTATTTTACACTGTGTATTTATTGGATTAAGCAAGTACTGTACAACTGGACATTGTTTTCCAAAAATACTCATTTAAAAACTGAATCTTTTATATTTTCTTTCCTCCAACCTCTCCTCTTCCTGCTTCACCCCTTACCACCCACCACAACACAGAGAACTCATTAGGATCAGTCTGAGGAAGAAACAGGGAAGATTACACAACCTTTTAATAATCACTTTAAGTAGTAATGGGGGGAAAGAATGAGAGTTTAACTTATCCTCCTTTCCCCCTGATTTCTCAATATTCTTTTTTTTTCCTGAGATGTGCTGTATTAGGTATTAAGAGGTTATATATAACTGGTCTGTTGGATAGGAGGGAGGGATAGATACAACTAGAAGCTGGTAGACGCAGTTTTTTATTCAAACATGAACTTTGTGGGTCACTTATCACTTAGGCTCCCCATGCCTGACTTTCACTAATTATTATATAAATTGCATTCACTACAATACAAAATGTGGTGAAGACAAATATCAATGGTTTTGGAGATCTTAAGGTGCTTTGCAATAAACTTATCTCTAGTGTTATTTCTTCCAGGTATGGAGAATCATGATGCTTGGAAAGAGTTTCTCTCCTTTAGCTTATTGAATCAGCGCCTTGGTCCCCCATTGAGAACAAGGGATCTCATCCCCTATCAATTCTCTTGTTTGTAATACTTTTGACATCCTTATATATACTTTCCAGACCTACAGCAACTTATGTACATGCATATATACATACACAAGTACACACATACACACCCGCTGCCTTATTGTGAAAAGTGTGTGAAAGCTTGTACATGTTTTTCAGCATTAATATTCCCTTTCTCTCTGTTTTTGCTTTAATGTATATGATTTAGCAAAAAACCTCCAGATGACACTGTGGCCCTAGCTCCCCTCTTTGGCCCACCATTAGAATCAGCCTTTGATGAACAGAAGACAGAAGGTAGGAAAAATGTATATATCTGTAGACTTTTTTCTTTTCATTAGCTTTCCTCAAGGAAATATATGTGTTTTGAGAAATATTTTTAATGTAGCATCAAATCTCTAGTAGCTGTGTTTGGTAATATAAAATGCTCTTAAAAATATCATTTGATTTAAGAGCACTATGGTACATATAGGATAAGATGTTATTTTTCTACAGTCCATCGTTGAGGTAAATTTAAGCGTTAAGGACAAGAGTTGAAAAGATAATGAGCATGCTAGGCTACTGTAACAGAGACGCCAAAGTACAGTGAATTCAACAAGACAATTTTGTTTGTTTCATGTTAACAGTCTCAGAGTGAACAACATGGGGCTGTAGGGCTGCTTGCTCTGCTCTTCTCAACATGTGGCCTTCATCTCTGGGCCCAAGGGGACTGCTGCAGCCCTCCCTGTCTTCCAGTCAGAAGGAAGGGGGTGGAGGTGGGAAGGGCCAGTGGACCTCGCTGCCATTTGCTGTAGGAGCAAAATCTGGAAGACACATCACTTCAACCAGAGCCCATCATAGACCATTTAGTGCCACAGGGCCAACTAAAACTCTTTAACTAGGAAGAAATGGAGAGAATATGCTGGAAAACAGCTAGCAGTCTGCCACACCTGGACATTTTTCAATGATTAGTTAGGAAAATATACAAAAACCCTCCCTAAATCCTCCTCAGTGAATTGTCTACTATTTAGGTCCTGTGATGAAGTTAGCAGTTGTCTTATTAACTTACCTGTGATTATCTCCTTCTTATAGACGTAATTATGTAGTGACTGAAGACAGGATTTGATCTGTGTCATTTGACTCCACCTATTACAGGAATTTTATAACTGCATGGAAACCTGATATACAAAATAGAAAACAGTTCTTAAAAATCAAGGTGGGGTTTGACATTGAATCCATTTAAGAAATGCTGCTTTACACCTTTAAGGAATGTTTACTTTCATGTTAAAACAAAACAGAGCTAAGAACATCTTTGAGGTTCATCATGGAGGGGAGATGCACCCTGGACTTGTCCCTGAGGCTGGCTTGATTGTTCTTTAGGTGGTTTCGGCCCCAGATGTTCCCTAAAGTTCCAGCATTTGCAACAGGCATACTAACTCTTCTGATACCTGTACTTACCTGTCATACCTGCACATTCTCACTTCTTTTGATTGATTTTTCTATCACTAGTTTAAAAGGACCAAGGGAAAAATATGTGTGTTGGAGTCAAGGATGCATGCTTGGGGTCAGATCTTAGCTCCCTTACTTTGCTCTTGGGCAAGTTATTTAATTGCTCTAATCTTTGGTTTCCTCTCCTGAAAATGGTACTAATACCAACTACATGGTGGTGTTGTGAAGATTAAATACATATAATAATAGCTGTGGGCCTCGTGGTGTTTTTTGTACATTTTGTATATATTATATTTACATCCTCCTTTAATCCTTTTAGTAACTCTCTGAGATTGCTCTTATTATCTCTGCACTAATTGAAGGGAAGTTCAGAAGTTAAAGGACTTGCCCAAGGTCTACAGTAAGTGTAGAGGCTGGATTCAAATCCACATCCAACTCACTTTTCAGCTTGTGTTTTATAACATAAAGAATTACAATCAGTGTTTACATAGCTCCTGGCACATGATAGGTGCTGGGAAAAGCTCTTTAAGGGTTATCATAGCAATTTTAAAAATCAAAAGGAAGAGACAAAGGAAATAGAAGACCCCTGGCTGGGTCCTCAGTTGGTTGGAGCACTGTCCCGTACACCAAAAGGTCATGGGTTGGATTCCTGGTCAGAGCACTGACCTAGGTTGCAAGTTCAATCCCCAGTCAGGGTGCATACAGGAGGCAACCAATCGATGTTTCTCTCTCACATAGACATTTCTCTGTGTCTGTCTGTCTGTCTCTCTATTCATCCACCCCCCTTCTCTAAAATCAATAAAAACATATACTTGAGTAAGGATTTTTAAATATATATAAGAAATCTTAGATTCAATATGCTTAGGCTCAGTGCCTAATTGCCATGATTTAATTGGCAATACTTTAGATATCTAAGCATGTGTTTATTTTTCTGGTTCTCTTAAGGTATTCACCAAATACTCTTAGGTAACTTAATTTCTCTCCATGATGCTGTGAAAGGTTTATTTAAAGACCCAGTAAGATCCTTTAAAAATACAAACCACTGTATAGAACCCAGGCATTTTAATTCTTGAAGCGGATTCTTAACAAACTTTAGATGAACCAACATAAAGCAAATTTCCATGGGGTCAATGCCTGGATTTTCAAATGGGTGCCAGAAACCGAGCCAGTACATTCTGAATGTCATTAATTGACCAAGCAGGAAGAAAATGCAGTTTTCATTTAGCTATATGTAAACACACAGACACCCTCCTGTACACATACAAACACACACACACCCTACTCCTTTTTCCATTCTCTGCCCGAAAAGAACAAGAAGCAGCACATTCCTAAATTAATTTGCTAGTCCTGAGGCAGGAGAGAAATAATTGTGTCAAGCTCAACTTTAAATTGAAATGCTAACTTCTAAAATCTAGGAGCATTTCTTTTTAAACTCACCCTGGCAATTTCTTTTTTATGTTTCCAGTTCTTTTAGATCAGCCTGAGATATGGGGTTCAGGCCAACCGGTTAATCCAAGCATCGAGTCGCCAAAGTTAACAAGGCCTTTTCCCACTGGAAGTAAGTTATGTGCCTGCTCTGTCTGGAAAAATAAGTGATTCATTTTACCGTCTGTCCGCATAGTGAAATTAGGCAACCCTTAGAAAGTCTACGTAAGCAACACTTGGACTGTATAATATTCAGAAGAGATGTTATTCTAATAGGCTTTAGAGTTAAATGGACCAACGGCAGGTTATCAAGGCAGAATAACATTAACAAAGTAAAATTATTAACTTTGGATCATAGTCTCTTCTGACATATCATAGGCTTATTCATTCATTTAATCATTCATTCAGAATGTATATGTAAGAGTGAAAAGCAAGTGTGCTCAAGAGCCTAGTGTGCTCCAGGCATGGGCTATCACACAACACAGAGGTATCACACAGCGTCAAGTCAGGTGTGGTTTCTTCTAGATATACAGAATAACTGAGGCTGCATGGGATAGAAAGGAAACATTGACAGGAAAGAATGATAATTGGAGAGCAAGACAAATGATGCTATATGATAAAGAGAAGCTGAGACAGGAGATCTAGGCAAATTTACCTCAAAGCAGGGCTGTCAGCCCAACTCATTCCAGCATGCCCCTCTTCTACTCCAGGCGGCCGGGGAAGGAGATCCCAAAGATCTTCACAGCCCTTCACCTGCAGTAGGCTGGGTTGGACTGAACTGATTGCTCAGTTAGTCAAGCTACTGGTCTGATAAATTTATCAAGTTCTCATTTTAGTAGACTTAGCAAATGTGCATGTGGAAAACACTCCTTAAAAATCCCATGGGAGGAAGATTGGATCTCAGAGAAAGGTGTTTGAGGGTGGAGGGGGATGTAGAGGATATTTTTACTCTCTGAAGAACACACACAAACCAATTAATATAATACTTCTTCCAGTTCAGCATTCCCAGGGTTCTGCTTTTTGGTGCCTAAAAATAATCATAGGAATTAACCAAGGATCCCTAGTCAATGGCACAAGAGGCTATTTGTCGGATATGTTGCTATAAGCCACATAATCCAGTCTTTCCAAGGATATTTCCTTCACAAAATAGGGGAAAACATAAACAATTTTTTTAAAAAACTTGAACTTTCAAAGATGTGTTGTCAAAGGATTAGAACCCCAGTGGCATGAATTTTTTGGATGTACCAAATATGGCCAGTGACAAGAAAACATACATTTAGAGGAAGGATAAGAAAAAAATGTACCTATTAAAGCTGTAAGTCCCAATTTTGCCCACAAAATGACAAGTCCAGTTTAAAAGAACTGGGGCCATAATACAGTATTTTTTCTATCTTCAAGGGTTTTTTATAGTCATCATTTTTTACCAAGGTAATGTGTTCATTCTTCCTTGGCCTAAATCAGTTTGCTTCAGGCTTTCAAAAATATACTAAAATTTAAAACATATAACTTAGAGAAATCTTTCCAGACTCAATCCATATAAAACAATGTGACCCAGTCTTTCCAAAGATTGCATATAATATCCTGACTGTATTAGAAACCTCTTACAGAGTCCCCTCCCCAGCTGTTCTCACTTCCGTGATCACACCCTGGGTTGTAACTGTGTTAACATGATACTCAATAATCTAGTCAGAAATTCCTTGAGGGCAGAGGCTCCTTTTCTTCAACCCTGTGTACATAGTTCCTAGTACATGACATAGGAGGTTTGTCAAATAATGAATGAATAAAATAATAATGTTCTTATGGTTATTATCTTAAACTTTTTTGGCAAATTCTTATTATCGCAAAGTAGAAGAATATGAATGGGACTTGTGTCAGTTCCTTAGGTTTGAATTTTTTTAAAAAATTAGACTATTAACTGCTATTCCACTTCCAAGAACCAGAATATGAATGAAAATCTAAATCCTGCTTCTCTACAGAATATTGTGTAACTCAGGGAGAAAGTAACCAGTAATGCCGGGCTCCTCATCTCTTTGCAGCACCTCCACCACTGCCTCCGAAAAACGTACCAGCCACCCCACCCCGAACAGGCTCCCCACTCACAGTCGGACCAGGTAAGCTATAGTTCTTTCTGTTCTGGGATGATGTGGCAGTCAAAACTGCATCCCAGACTTCAACATGCCCAAAATGTGTTGGAAGCTATAGACTAAATTAACATGAAAATATTTCCATTTAGTTTTACTTCCATTACAATCTACCATGAAGACTCATTTTAAAGAATCACGCTCAAGTTTCACAAAAAAGATGCACTTTCCGAACTAATTTTTCTGCGTGTATTATTACTGAATGAGGGTCCTATTTACCTGTAAAATGAAAGAAAAAAATCTCAGTATCAAAAATTATTGTTTAATTATGTTACTTCATTGGATCTCATTTTAATGATATGCAAATTAATAGTCTCAAGACACAGTTTGTGATTTTCCAAGAACAGATAAAATTTTTGCCAGAATTAAAACTATTTAGTCTATCAAAATATAAAATGGTTCCCAGACTGTGCATCATACTGGTAAGCTTGGGTGATAGGGAATTTTTTTCCCAGTAATCATAAAATTACTTATTATCCACTGGCAAAAAGATGTGCAAAAATGATGAAATATTGCAAGCAACTGCTGCATGCCTTTAGACAGATAATTTCTAAGGCACATTTTTATTTTCTATTAAGATTAATACTAAATATTCATACAATTTATAATCTACCTGGTCTTATTGGACTAGCAAGTCAAAAGCAGTAATAGTCATTTCATGTGCCTGGGCTTTTAGAATGTGGTTCTTTATCACCTTTGGACTTCTTTTGCAGCTTCATCCTTTACTATTTGTGCAGCCTGGTGAGTTTGATAGCTACAGAGTGGAATATGTATCAATAAAAGCAAATGCAGGCCATAGTCATTTATGAAATTTATGTTGACTCAGACCCAACAGGGAGTTGTCTGGGGTGTCATAGGAAAGGTATTTGCAAGTTCAAATCATTTTGGCCCCTTGGATCTCTTCTATTAATACATTAGATATAAATAAAGCTACTACAAAATTATAAATATTGCAGGTTATGCAAACTGCTATCTGTAGCCTTGGAAACTTGAATGTTAACTCCTTTCAAATGTGGAATATGGAAGGACTAAGCTGCTTCTTGTAGCCAAAGGGTTATTTAAAGGTAAAGTGGTTTCTGTTCATGCCTTGCAATTATTTAGGTAACAATTTTTAATTTGAATAACTTCAGTTTTTAAAAAATATACTTCCTCACACAGCAGTTGTTATCAAATCTTTTCCTGCCAAGTTATAGAAGGTAGTTTTTACTCTTTTCTCATATTATTAAGACAAAAAGAATAGCTGGTGCTAAAGTTTAAGCAAAACATAAGTTTCTGCCTCATGACTTCAGATATGTGTCACAGCTATGTCTCTGATGTTAACTGATTAGGCTTGATTAAAAAAAGAAATTATACAGATGTTTTTATGATTTTCTTCCTTGTTAAATAGTTATATGTGTTCTAATAAGTAGTAAATGTCTTCTCAATAACCTATATGTGTGTTGTGTGTGGGGTATATATGGGTATGTAAATATATGTGTGGGGATATCCCTTTATGTAACCTTTGTACTGTGATTCTGGTATACTTAAGATGGAAGATACACAGCTAACTATGATATGCATTTTTTTAACTAGCAAATATTATAATTAGTTTCACCAAACATTTTAATTTAATATGCTACAGTAGATAATAATTTTCAAATATGAGGGAGACTTTCAGCTATGTTTCATTATATGAATTTCAGTAGGCCAGATTTTCACAAGGGACCTCCCTTTTGGAATTTGCCATTCCAAAGCCTGTACTTCCCTGTGCCCCTAGCACTGCTTCTCAAAGTGATCACACTGCACTGTCGCGAGCAGCCCTTGAAAGCAGCAGTGTGCTCAGCACTTCCGATGATGGGAACAGTAGCTAACTGGGGTCATCCTGCAAAGGGGGAAATAATCACATAAAAAAATGACATTCACATTTTGGAGGGAATGTGAGCTCTCCTCTCCCCTTCAGCTCTGATCGAGATATTTTTACCTCATGAAATATGCCGGTGAGGTGCCCAGAAAGGCAGTCTATTTACCCGGTTTGCCTACCCCCTCCCACCCCACCCTCCATAAAAATGATATTAACAAACCTCAACTAAAGCTCAAAACCAACTACTTCAACCACAGGAGATGACCGGTCAGCTACAGAGGTCAAAATTGAAAAGCTACCATCAATCAATGACTTGGACAGCATTTTTGGCCCCGTGTTGTCCCCCAAGTCGGTTGCTGTTAATGCTGAAGAAAAGTGGGTCCGTTTCTCTGATACGTCCCCGGAACATGTTACTCAGGAGTTGACTCCAAGGGAAAAGGTGGTGTCCCCTCCAGCTGCATCAGACAATCCAGATGACTCCCCAGAGCTGGGCCCCCCAAGCCCTCCAGGCCCCCCAGGTCCTCCAGGGCCCCCTGGTCCTCCTCGCAATGTACCATCGCCGCTCAATTTAGAAGAAGTCCAGAAGAAAGTCGCTGAGCAGAGCTTCATTAAAGATGATTATTTAGAAACAATCTCATCTCCTAAAGATTTTGGGTTGGGACAGAGAGCAACTCCACCTCCCCCTCCACCACCTACCTACAGAACTGTGGTTTCGTCCCCCGGACCTGGCTCGGGCAGTGGTACGGGGACCACCAGTGGTATGTCTTACTGTCTGAGTGTGCTTCGCGTGACCGGGAATGGCTGTGGCTGCTGCAGTATGAGCACACCCTCCTTCTGCCTGGCAGTTGGCTTTAGAGCTTCAGTCATCCCTCCTTTGGTCTGGCTGTCCTGTGGCCCTGTGGCATGTCCTAGTCCATTGAATGCTGGCAGTCATAGTGCAAGTCTGTGGATGTGTTCTGCCCTGCCCTCCCAGCCCTGAGGAGTGCCCACCCTCACCCCTGCAGTTAGGAAGTGTACATTTTTAAACAAAGCTGTGATGTCATTGTTCGGAATTCAGGCAAGTTTTAGAGAGACAGATTTCACAGTCAGTAAGTTTCATGTTAAATGTCTGATTTCCTTGTCAGATGTGTCCACAAGAGCCCTAGTTTTCCTTTGCCTTTTTTTTTAATTTGTTTGGTTTTCAGCTTTATTAAGGTATAATTCACAAATAAAATTGTAAGATAAAGTACACAATGTGAGGATGCGATAGACATGTGTATTGTAAAAGGACTGCCCACATCAAATTAATTATCACATCCATCACCCCACCTGTCTACCTTTTTTTTGGGGGGGTGAGAACATTTAAGTTCTACTCTCTTAGCAAATTTCAACTATACAATACAGTGTTATCAATTATACAATATAACCACCAGGTTATACATTATATTCTCAGACCTTTTGTATCTTATAACTGGAAGTTTATATTTCTTTTTTCCCAAAGACCCTAATTTTTGTAAATCAGTGTGGTTTTTTTTCCCTTCTATTTTTCTCTTCTTTCTTTCTTGCTTTTTTGTGAGGAGAGAACCCTCTAATTTACTTCAGGGGGAAAAAAAGAGTTTGCAAAGGAGATTTTAAGAGACAACAAGAATGAAATACCTCACTGCATCCCCAGCCTAATCAAGCTGTCACTAAAGACAAATTATTCTCTGATTCCTTTTGACATGCTCATCAGCCTATCATGTCAATTCTAAGTGTGGTGACAGGTGATGGGAGGAAAGTCCATCAAAAATGTATGTTTTAGAACAATATATGCACATGTTGACACTGAATCTGATTTTTTGGGGTTTTGTTATGCAAAGCTTCATTTTGCATTCTGTAATTACAAAAGGATGGGAATCCCTGCCATGCATACCAAAGAAAGATCAAGATTTTTCTAATGCATTTTCTAACATATTGTTTATCCCACTGGTGCACATGTTTGCCTGGCAAGGCCCTTTGGTGCCTGTGGGGTCAGTTATACACCTTTCTGGGATTGCCATGCGCTGCTGGTTCTTCATTTGCTTTGAAAAAGGATACCTAGTTGAAGTTATTTAGATCTAGTAAGAGACATAAAGGAAAGGCATTTGTCTCTACCCTAACAGTCAGTCATCATCTCTGCCTCTTTCATTGGAGTGTTTTTCAGTGCTTGCTCTGAGCGTGCAAGTTCCTGTGTGTTTTAAATGAGAGCATCCAAGCTGACCAAGGAGGGGGCTGCGGATTCACCTGTACCACACACAGGATCAATGTTTTACAACATTAAGTGGGCTTCCTGTGCTCTCCCTCACTAAAAAAGGGAAACTATTCAATACTCAAATAAGTTGGGGAAATGTGTTAAAACAAAAGCGGAAGATTTTTTTTTTTAACCATAAGACCTTTGAGGGCCTTTATTTGGTCAGTAATAGCAACAGCTATATTTTTTGTCCTGGCACCATGCTAAATGCTTTATGCATATTATTTTATCCTCACAACAACTTCACATGGTAGATACTCTTACTTCCCCCATTTTACAGATGAGAAAACAGTCTCGGAGGTATCTAGTGATTTGCCCAGGTTTACTCAGCTAGAGGTGACAGACTTGGGATTCACACTCAGGTCTGTCTAATCCAGAGCCTGTATTCATAACCACTGTTACCTACGGGTACTCTTCTAAAGTTTAGTTACAAAATGTCTCAAACTTACTTGACAACTGACACCCAGCAGTATGGCGCTGTATCATCAACAAGGTCACTGGCATGCTGTCATAACGTGCTCCTCAGTGTTCTTCTCTATCACTCTAGAAGGTTAGAGCACCACCTTCATCCTCTGTTGCTTTCTTAGGTCTTTTCTAGTATATAAGCTCCTTACTTCTCTATGGAGATAATAAAGGGCCCCTAGGTAAAGCCTTCTGTCTGGACCTCAAACCCAAAGAGGCTGGCTGTCCATTATCAAAGAAGGGTGCATTTCTGTCATTTGCGTTAGGGTTCTCTTTCCTGGGCCAGGCTCTCAGTCTTCTGAAAGGACTTTTAAGGGATAATACCCTCTCTCCAGTGGCAGCCCACTAAGCTCTTTTGGGGGGCAGGGGAGGACAGGGAAGCTTTGTTTGTCGTCTCTGTTCCCTTCATCACCTTCCACAGGGCTCTGGGAGACATTTGTTTAATTGAATTGACCACTGTTATAATGAGTAGAGAGAGGAGTTTTGGCTCTCTTTCTGGAACCTTTGGGAGTTTTGTTGTTGCTGTTAATGTTTAGCTTCCATATCCTTATTTGAAATTACTTTAAAATATTGCCAGTAAAGACTATTGATTCTTAATAATTGAGCTGGAAAAAAACTATACTTTGCTGGTATTAAAGGATTGAATTTCTAAGTGGAAGATTGAACTGGGCCAATGAACCTCATGAATAAATGAAACTGTACCATTATCTCCTTAATTAAGTCCCAGTTTATTTGCTGCTTAATGTTTTATTGATGAAATATACACAGACTCTCAGAAATGTAGATTTAGGATTACAACAATAGGATATGGCCTCTTGCTTTTTAAAAATTAGCTATGCTTCTCACTCCCTGCTATTCACATCACTTAGCCCGATAAAATTAACTTTTCCTGTACTTCTCAAAATCTATTTAATTGAATGTCATTATGCTCACTTTTTAAAATTTCATTCAAAGCAAGGTAAGTCATCCACCAACTTTAGGCAGCTCTCACAACTTTGTAAATCAAAAGAGTTACCTGCTGTTGAAAAACAGAAGTTAAGAATTTGGTCCAAAAAGTTAAATTTTCTTATGGCAAGAGTTAAAAATACCTAGCTTGGCCAGAACACAGCTTTCTTGGAGTGCAGACTCTGATTCTTGGCAAAAGCTGTCTCTGCTGTGTGGGTTGTGTGCCAGGAGATGGGGAGGAGAAGGAGTCTCAATGGCTTACAGCAAGTTCGGAGGCCAGGGAGAGAGAGATGTTGGTAAAGATAGAATGGTCTTTGTGAACACTTTTCCAACTTGGGCTACTAGAGCAATATTAAAAGATGTTATACACAGACATCACACTCGCACACACATCCATAAGCAAATGTGTTTGAGTTACCGAAGTTTGAATTAACCAATGTTAATTCTCTGTCCAGTATGAAAGCCACTAGCCACATGTTACTATTTTAATCTTAATTATAACTAATTAGAAGTAGTTCTTTAGAGGCAGTGGGTGCAATCCAGGTGCTCAGAGACTGCCGTGGTTCGTGTCTGTCTCCTTGGACAGCACTCGTCCTAGAGCACTTCCATCATCGCCGAAAGCTCCACTGAGAGCACGTTTTCGGGGCCTGTAACGTGCTGGTCACCAAAACGGAAACATAGTTCATAACCATTCCCACACACACTTAATACTTTCTTCAAATAAATGATGAAATTGTGTTCTAAAAACCACAGTTGGAAAAGGCTGTGTAGTTTCTTACATATTTTGAAATGCATATATTTTATTTCACTTGATTCTTCCCACAACATTGTGGTGTATTAGCCTTATTTTACAGATAGGAAACAAAAGTTAAAAGCTGGAACTTGGCCATAGCCACAAAGCCAGTAAGTAGCAGAGCCAGGAACTGACCCCAGGTCTGTTGGATTCCACTCATTTCTCCTCCCCAGGTGCCCCCACTGCCTGCCCATTCACCCACCCACCCCCACATAGAGAGGGGGCAGTTGAAGTTGTAGGTCCATTGTTTGCAGGAGCTGTCAGAGAAACTCTGGTGGAACTTCAGGGTGAGCGCAGCAGATGAAGTGAGAACATGTCAGTGGTTGCCAACTTTTTTGGATTCACAAAACTCAGATAATGTGCATAGGATTTTTAAAGTTAAGCCTTAACAGGTGATGGTGTCCACTTATTTTCCATCATTGTTCTTGAGAATAAATAATGCTTGAAGAGAAAGTGAAAGTATAATTGAAGATCAGAGAATGATAGAGATGTACAAATAAAAAACCCTACCCTCTTAGAATGTGAAACAACTTTGTCTTCTCACAAAAGCCTTAGTAATCATGTAAAGCCTCAGTTTTGTTGTGAAATACCCCCTCAGGTCCTGAATATTCTCTGCTGAACCTCAGGGTTCTGTCAGGTAGGGTTCAGTTCTTAAATGCTCCCTGAGTGTCTCCCAGCTGCATAACCAATTAGTTAATTCAGCAAGGAAAAAGTAGGTTAAAGCAAATGACCCTAAAGAAAAACAGTTAACTAGTCTCTTTTTCTTGGCTTTTAGTTCTGTCTTTATCGAAAGACACATCTTTACCATCATCATCAACATTGATTGCCTTCCATTTTTGTAGTATTTTATAGTTCAGTAAACACTTTCATAAGCATTTTCCGTTTTGATTGTTACCACTACCTTATAGAAACACTTCTCATTTTTTTAAAATAGGAAGCTGAGGCTCAGAGAGGCTCAGGGCCCCTAGTCCACGAGAGGCAGACAGGGCCAGAGCTCCAGTCACCTGTCGTTTCATCCCGTTTTTCCAGTACTCCACACAGTTCTGGTGACAACCCTTACTACTTTGCCAAGCATGACCACAAGTGGTCTTTAAATTTCCCTCCTGGAACACGTAGGAAAAGGATAAGCAGCTGACCTTTCCCTGAGATTGATTCAGAAGACTATTTCCTGGAAAAAGACCCCTAAACAGGCATTTTGAACCATTCCTATGTATGATTTTCCAGCACAATAGAACCCCCTCCCTAAAAGCCCCAGGAAATTTCCTGACAAAGATACTGTTGTTTAAAAGTTTATTTCCCATCTCTTTGCTGTCACTTCTGTTTTCTGAAAACATCCTGGGTTATACATCTATTAACTTGACAGAAAACTTTATAGTGAGACCTGTCAAAACATACTGCTTTTTTTTGTTCAAGAAATTAGCCAAAAAGATGAAGAAGATTTATATTGAGGGAGGTATGTGTTAGCTGCCCGTTCAAGATGTTGAACTCTACAGTCCACCTAAAGCTACAAGACATTGCATTTGAGCTTCGTCTTTGGAGTTAAATAGATCATTTGAGCTGTGTGACCTTGAGCAAGTTACTGAATATCTCTGAGCTTTACTTTCCATTGAAACAGTAACAATACCCTACTGCAAAGCTTACTGTGCAGATAAAATAAGATGATAGCTAGCATAGACTCTGACCCAATAAAATAAAATGTAAGAATATAGTAACAAAGTGGTACTTACAGAGGTGAGGGGGATGTAGGGATGGGGATGGTGATAATAATTAGTAGCATTTCCCACTAATGAAATTCCAGTTAGCATAAACAGCACAGAGAAACACAGCATGCTCAAGATTTCAAGTTGTTTAAACAAGAGGATCAAAGTTTACCTCCAGGGACTCTCCCAAGATGAGAGCAGATGCTGAGGTGCTTTCCTGCACAACTTCTTGGAGAATCTAGAAATCTGGAGATGGAGATGCTGGTCTCTTTCTCTAGGGAACACAGTTTTGTGACATATTGGAGGGGAAGCAGGGAGGGCCGATATTTCCCTGGGCCAGGATTTCTTAGAATTTTCTTGGAATGATTTGATACCCGTGCTTCTAACCAAAGTACAAAACATGTGGAAGTAGTTGAAACATTTCTGAACAGGAACTGTGTGGAATATTGATTTGACTTTCTTAAGGGTTTTAGCCAAGTAGTTTACCTGTGTATCCCAGATATCTGAGTGACAGTAGGCAGACGCCTGAGTTCTAAGGCCCCTGCTGGTGTGCTGATTGGTGTGCATGCCGGCCTCTGTGTGTCTTCTGTGTTCCACATGTTTGTCATTGACAGCCAGAAAAGTAAATCCAAGAGGCTCTTCTAAAATCATCACAAACATCAGAGTGGGCAAGCTCAATGTAGAACAGATTCCTAAGCAGCCTCCTTTAAATCAGAATGTCTAAGTCAATGTGTTTCTTTTATTAGGATTCTAAACACAAAGTATTCATGCAACACCTAATTTACCTTCTTCTATTTTGTCCTTTGCTTAACATCAAACGTTTGCTTATGTTTATAAAGTTAGCACTCATATCTTGAAACAGTGTAAATCTCTTACACGTATTTAAATATATATATAATGAGGAAAATTCATTCAACTTCCTTCAAGTTCTAACTTCCATTCCTATCTTGGACATAAATAAATTCCAAATATGCAAAAATCAAAAGATTTATTATAAGTTTGGTGTACATGTGTTCAAAATGAAAGCTACCCTCTACCCAGCCAAAAGAGTCTTAAAAATATATTTCCTGTCACTAAGAAAAGGATTTACCTTTCACTGGGTGTCACATGACAACAAAAGGCAATGAGCTTCAGCTTCTGCCATCAACCATAGTTCAACTGAGTGATTTTTTTTCTGTATTAAAAAAAAATGTCATGTGCTACAGTGTTGAATATACTAATGGCTGAAGTGAAAAAGACTGTCTGGGACTGGCATCGCACTGTGGGAATGGGGAAGGAGAGATTCATGACGATGGCGCTTCGGCCACCTGTGCTTCCAGCCATTTTTAACACCAGCTTGCTTTTCAGGTGCATCGTCCCCTGCTCGGCCAGCCACTCCCTTGGTTCCCTGCAGCAGCACTACCCCTCCTCCACCTCCTCCCCGGCCTCCATCTCGGCCAAAGCTACCTCCTGGAAAACCTGGAGTCGGAGATGTGGTATGTTCCCTTCAGCCCTGGCTTGCTCAGCCATCTCAACATGAGTTAAGCCTGAGATTGCTTGTGCCAATGGCCCTGACAGGTGGCATCTGAAAGACAGCCACTGTGGTATGGGTGTGCATTTCAACCCTCCTCACATCTCTACCATCTTTCAAGGCAGGCTCTAAATGGTAGGAATAGGCATGCTGGGGGCCCCCAGTTCTGCTGCAGTGGGTTTGATGCAATTAATACAGTAATGTTCACTTGTGCTAAACCTTTAGAAAGGGAGGTGTTTCTTTTCACCATATATCTCTGGTTTTGAAAGACCCTCAGGAGAGGACAAGTCTTTATTTCTGTCCCTAGACTACAAAGAAGTTATTGATGGTAGGCACACTATACAACTATAAGGGAGAGGGTGGCCCAATGTATTTGTTCTGGAAGTTTCTTACATCATGTTTTAAGGCTGAGAAGTGGAAAGCATTCTGTGTGAACAATGAAGAGACTCCTGGCAGAAGTAAATTTCTTTGGTATCTCTGAACAGGAGCCACAGCCTGGTGATGTTATTAATATTTGTTTTAGGTGTACACTACAGTGTTTTGTACTTAAATGTCTTGAAATGGATTTAAACTCTCTGATTACATTACCTTCTTAGTCCCTGAGAGTGTGTGAGTTCACAGTCCTGGAACATCACTGACTGCATCACAGATCTCAGGTTCTCTAAGTCTGATATACTGACTGAGTGCAGTGCAGCACTTTGTGGTTTATCGTTCCTCCAGCTCCATCTACAAGCTCCTATATTGATATAATCAATTTCAGTGTAAAAATAATGTCACCTGTACTTTTAGCACCTGACTTGTAGTGGGGGCTGGGAGACATGAGGAATGTAGAGCAAAAGCACCATGACCTGTGTATCTAACTTCTCATCTCTTCTCTTCTCTCTGTAGCCCAGACCTTTCAGCCCTCCCATCCATTCTTCCAGCCCTCCTCCAATAGCACCCCTAGCCCGGGCTGAAAGCACCTCGTCGATATCGTCTACCAATTCCTTGAGTGCAGCCACCACTCCCACAGTTGGTAAAAATTCTCTCTTCTCTTTTCATCTGTTTGTGGTTTTGACTGGCTATATTTTTATCTGGAAACCCCAAGGCCTTATGTTTCTGGTCAAAATTGTTTTGCTGTGTGTTTTGCTACTATCATCTGACTCTTCTTTTAAAAGCACCTTCTCAGCAAAGGAGGCAAAGTGCAGGAATTCTCTTATGCTATTCCATACAGAGCTGTTTATAAAAGCAAGGAAGAAATTGTCAAATAAGGTCCTATAATTTTGATATTATTTCTTATAATAAAAATAATCTCCTTTGATGGGGAATGTTAATTTAAATTCCAACCATGTAACACATCAGAAATTACAAAATTTAGAACTTTTATTTTCTTGAAGCTTTAATTTCTTCATCATTTTTGGTAGTTTTTATGTCAACAGATGGTATACACTTCAGCATTGTGGGACTTGGGCAAACTTTTTAACATTTTTTTTCTAGTGCTTTTCAGTGATTTGTGGTCAATGTTCCCTGAGAAATAAATCATTGCTGGCATTTTCAGTAAATGCCTTTGTGCCTCTTTCCTTGTGATGTAATGAAAGGGAAGAGTAGAGAGTGGCTGCTCAGCTGGATGGTTTTCCCAGGTTCAAAGGCCTCCTTTTGCCTGGAGCATCTTCCCTTTTCCCAAGGCTGGTCTCTCTGAACGCCTTCACCCATCTTCCCTAGGCTCCTGCCACCTCTCCTGTTTGCATGGTGTCTGACCTGGGGCTTTCCCTTTCCATTTTTTCCCATTGTTCTCCTTTATTGTCAGAACTTCCCTCCCAAGTCTTCCATGTTATAAACCAGGCGACCATCCTGCATTGCTTGGGAGAATCATTAACCAAAGCTAAGTAAATTTCTGCTACTTACCAAGAGCACGCTACAGAGTTGCCCATTTGAGTAGTAGCCTGATCAAAACCAGAAGCTCTTCTGGAAAAGAACTCCATTTTTGCAGTGGAATAAGTTAAGGAGTGCCTCTTAGGAGCCCCAAAGAGAAGTTCAACTATATCACATGCTCTATATTATTAATTAGACCAGCCCAAAGAATCCTTCAAATTTGGTGAAAATACAGCCAGCTATCCAATTTCATATGATGCAGTAATACAGATATTTAACATTTTATATATATATAAATATAAATATAAGTATGTATATATACTTGTGTATATATATATATATATATATATATATATATATATATAAACACTATTCTTTATCTGCATCATTAATTGGGGCAATTAGAGCTTTCTATTTATATGCCTGTTAGTTCTTTTCTCTCTGACTTTTTGGGGGTTTTTTTCTATAATATCCCGACCTTATTTTTTAACTTTTTAATATTCTTGATTATTAGAGCCACTTTCCCCACTCCTGCTCTGGTTTTTGTTTTTGCTTGTTGTTGTTCTTAAGATCATTTGTCCCACCTATTCCATGTGACTTTCCTGGTTGGTCAAAGAGGAAAACAAGAATAAACTATCACTCAGGAAGCAAACCTTAGTGACCTCAGATGACCGTCTAACATGTTCTTTCAACTCATTGAGATTCACAGAGAAAATCGCGCACACAGGGAATTTAACTGTGTCCATGTTTTCCACAATGTGTTTTTATACTCCCTGCTGCAGAAATCCCAAATCCAGACCAGTGACTTTAATTCTGAACACATCTAGCATGCATTCTTTCAAGATGAACCACAGAGGGGTTTACTTTAAAAAGCCACCTGAAAGGATAGTCACATTGCTTCATTGCTGAGGAGCATTCTGATTTAATCTGTTTGGTTTTTGTTATTTTTTATTCAGTTTTCATCTTCCCACTACATTCCTCACTCTCCTGTTCTTTATTTTCTGCTGCTGCAGGTCACCTGACAGCCACTTCTCACTAAAGTAACCACATTGTCAAGTGGCCCACCACCTGGCAGCTGTTTGTCTGCTGGTGTTTATCTCTCTTTGGAGAGGGCGTGCTTTGGCTCTTAGCACCAAAGAACTAACTATTCCCTACAGTCTTGGAATGTCAACTTAATCAAGTCGGGTGGCTCAAGGAGATAGAGAATTTCAGCAGCGAGTTTTCTGAAGTTGGTGGCTCAGCATTCCCCTCCCACCACCACAGTACTTTTTGACATTTCCTGGGACACGTGAGCCAAAATTGGGGCAAGTGTGGTAGGAACCAATAAGCAAAGTTTAATGTAATTTAAGGACTAAAAATTTAAGAGCAAGTTTAATCTTCCTTTGTGACAGTTCATATAAGAATATGCCCCTGTAAGACTTTCAACATAAAATCTCCTGTGAGAGCTGTGACTATAAAGCAGTAAATCTGATGCCACACCTGAAAACAGGACTGCCTGTGTGTTGTCACACTCAAATAATGGAAAGCTTCTGTGAGACTCTCCTTTACTGAATTGAAAATACCCACTAGAAGATGCAGTTATCGTATAGATGACTAAGAAAGCAAAGGATGCTGCCAATTGAGCTAGGATGCAAGGCTTTCTTATCACGTTTTAGGACCCACTCCAGTTGCAGAGCTTAAAATGGGAAAAAGTACACATCCTAGCATCAATGAAATACAATGCTCTCTTTTTGTACTCAGGAATACCTCACAGGACCTTCATTCTATGATTTTGGAGAAAAATCTATTAATATTATTTGAATGGAGAAAATATTTAAAGGTATTCTATTATAAGAAATAAACTCCTAGACATTTGAGGTAGAAATAAACAGGGAATTATCTCTAAATGTAAATATCCATTATTATTACTTGTTTCTTATTGCTATGGTGATGGTTGGTTTTTTTAGATGTTTGCAGAATCTTCATTGGAGACCCCAGTTCAAAAAGACCAAAATAAAGACAGTTTTTCTTCATTGTTAAATGTACTATTAATTATATTCCTTCACTGTTAATTATGCATTTTCATTTGCCTTTTTAAGATCCAGGAATCTGTAATGAAAGACAAGTAATCACTTGCGGGCAACAAAGGAAGCCTTCATGAACTTTGATGCATCCTTTGGTGTAGAAATTTGAGCAAAGGTCATTGGTACGCAGCACTGGGGTGTTAACCATAGCATGTAAAACTTAAAATATTTCCTTCAAACTTTTGTCTCTCCAACCTGGAAAGCATTTCTGAATTGGATAAGGTTTCTTGTAAAAATACATGCTAATGCCAGTTATCCTGCATAAAAAGAAACAGGCAGTTGGACATGGATATTCTTGATCCCAATTAAAAATTCCCACATATAATTTTAGTCTTTTGTTTTTTCTTTCTGCTAGTTTTTGGAAAGGTCTGTCTTCAGCCCTGACTTCTCCATCATATATCAATTTGAGGCTCTCACTGTGGTTAGTCTTTAAGGAAATTTTTTCTTCTTTATTTAATTCAGGTGTTGCCCTTATTTTAATCAAGCACAGAGCTATCCAGTGACTCACTTTTCAAGTTCTCCTGTTTATTTAGGATATTTTCTTACAAGCCCTCAATGTCCACAACCACTATAAAAAAATCAGAAGCTCGCTATTGAAACTTCATGAACTATTTTCTTGCAACTTCATCTCAAAGAACAAATGGCAGTATTGGAGGCTTCTCATTTGAATGAGATTGTAAATAAGAAATTAGTGCTTCAAAAAAAAAGGAAAAGTCCTCCATCATCTCCCACTAGTAGGTATGAAAAGGCACTGTTACATTGTTACTGCCAACGTAACTGTTTTGCTTCCTGTTTTCTTTAGAGACTACAGAATGTCTTCCTTAGTCCTCCTCCTCTTCTATAAGCAATATAGGAGGTGCTTTAACTTGTTCTAGCCACCAACGGAGCCATTTGTATAACAAAAACTGATTAACAGGTGATGTCCTAGAACCTTAGGAATTGACAAAGAGATAGTTTCCCTACCTTACTCCTTAAGTCTGGGAGGCAAGCTAGTAGAACCTTTTCCAAGAAACATTGTTTACAGAATAGTTTTACTGCCCTCCTTCATTTCCTTATCTTCTCTATGTTATAGGAATGATTCTGTCTTAGTGGTCTTTGTACAGATTTTACTCAATTTTTCTATTAAATTTATGATAATATCCTTAGGACCTATGGCATGGAGTACTTTTTTTTTTATCAGATAGCGTAATGCTCTAATTACCTGCATTTGTTAGTTGGTGAGAAAGGACACCATGTGCAGAGATCTGGGACACTTTGAGTCCAAAGCAACTGTTGCAAACAATTTACAAAAACATTTGGCCACAGCTGGGTACTACAGCTAAAGATGGAATTACAATAGTGCTGTTCAAAATAAACAGTCCATAACTGCCAAAGACAGATACAAGGCAAATTGAATTTGGATATTGATGAAGTGGAAATGAGATACTTTATTCAAGGACCTCAGATTTATATTGTTGCTTTTTCATGGTCTTCTTAAAAGCTTCCTCTTTCCCTGTGGGGGGAAGTACATGCTGGGTTATTCTGTGAGGCTGTCACAAGGTTCTGTTGATGGACATACATCTGGCCCTCTGAGAATTGTGTCTGAGTGAGATACACTTGCACAAGTCAATTATTAATGATAGTGCCTTTAACAACTCCCTGAAAAAGTGGAGGCATGATTTCTTCCATGGGACTGAGTTCAGCAAAATTCAGATGCTAATACCTGCTTTTTAAAAAAAATTATAATTGTTTCTCATAGAATTATCATGAAATGAGCACATACTTTTCTATGTCCTAGTCATACTCCCAGTGTCTTAAGTTTTGTTTCCTTTTTCCATTAAAGTCATTCCTGTGTTTTGATCAGTAAAGTGTGCTGCTTGATTTCATTTGGGATTTGTATTTGTGTTTTTGTTTTCCATTCCTTTATATTTCTTTGGTTCGTAGTGTCAGAAGATGATGTTTTTTATGACAAACTGCCCTCATTTGAAAGGCGCTGTGAAACCCCTGCAGGTATGGTGCTAGCCAAGTGATCTCTAGATATCTAGACTTTAAAAATCCAAGCCATTATGCCATCGGAATGCTAAAAACTTCATGGACATGCTGTGCACCTCATGAGTGTCCAGTGCCTCTCAGATGCACCCTGTCTGTTTCCTGTTCATTGTGGACTTCGTGCCATTGACTTGTTTTAAGTGAACATATTAGAAAGCAGCAGGTTGCATGACAGTTTCTCAGTGAAAAGGATCAAAAAAGGTGAGATGCTATTATTGCTTTGTGAATTTATAAAGGAAAGAATAATTTAACTGCTCAGAATTACATGTCCAGTGACTGCTTTTTAATTTAAAAAAGAATAGAACACTGTTAGCAATCTTGTTTTCTCTTTGGTACATAGGTAAAAGGTGTTTTGTGTCTGGCTTCCTAAGGTGATTCCAGGGACAGGGACGGAAGATGTATGATATCTTCCAGGAATATTAAATTGACACATGCAATGCTATTGTCATTTAAAATTTAAACTAAGTTTATATGACCCATAACTGCATTTATCTTTTTGAAAACATAGAAGGGGTTGACATTGAAGGTGAAATGGATACAGCAATTGCTGAATGATAGTTTGCCCAAACTAGTGCAGTTAAAATATGCTGACGCCCCTGCATGGCCAGGAAGACTTCCGCTCCATGCGCACAAGCACCCAGTATCAAGCTACCAACAACACGTGCCCATCCCTTTAGGCCTCCATAGCTTCGCTTTGCTTTCTGTTTCCTGAACTAAAAACCAGAACAAAACCCCATAGATCGCCAACCTTCCCTTTCCCCTGCACGCTAATGGCATGCAGTGCCTCTGCCCTCCCCCATAGTGAGATTAATGACCTGCTCTCTAACTCATACTGTGTCCTTCTCTCTCCCTCTCCTTAACCTTTCCCATCCCGCTTCAACTCCTGGCCATACAGAGAATGAACAGCCTTCCCTCGTTTGGTTTGACAGAGGAAAGTTTTATTTGACTTTTGAAGGTAAGTAGTACATAGCATACCAGATTCTAATTTATATTCCCCTCATCCTTTGTCCCCTGTCTGCATTTCAAAATCCCAATTCTCTTCAAAAGACCCAGTCTCTATATAAAAATGCTATGACTACTTAGAAAATATTAAATACTAAAGAAATATTACATGAATTTGGTTTGTATGGGATCTTCAATTTTTAATATTAAAAATTAAAGCTAATTTGCATTTAATATCAGTGGCTTAATTAACTTTGTTAAATTGAAAAACAAACAAACAAACACCTTTTTGTCCAAGGAACTTAACTCTGTCAACCAGGGCTCTTTCCTCATACTTTTGCAAATGCAATGCAACAAATATAAAGACATTTTTGGTTGAAATTGGCATTTAACTCTGTTTTGGATAATTAATATTTCAGATATAACATTCATTTTCGTAAAATGTAAATATATATAAATATCCTTATAACAAGGAAGCTACATGGAAGATCAGAAAAATGAGGAAGAGAAAGAAGTGAGGGTGTATTTTAGTGAGTTCTGTTTACGTCTCCTGAAACCACACGGGAATGACTGCAGTACAATGGACAATTATCGGTGGACCCCATTTTAGGAGATTAAGGGAAATACACAGGAATGTGTGAAATATCTAACCTTACTGTTGGATAATTTATGTTCTGCACTAAGGATTAATATTCTTCTATTTTATATTTAAATTCTAAATAATTTTAACAGGCCCAGCATTTGATAAAATGACCCATTTAAACTAATGGAGGGAAAATGAAGTAATTTAATAGATGGGTCATCTTACACATAAATATTTATCACTTAAGCCCCTATTTTTTATCATTTTAAATAGCTATATATATTCAGGGATCAAAAATTGGCCAAAAACTATTCTGCCCTAGAATTGAATCTCAATATTGAACTCGTGTCTGTGTTCCGTGACAACAGGAAAGTACTCCAGAGTTGGTGTGTTTCTGTGCAGTTTTAAAAGTGGAAGTGACTGACAGATCCTTCAGTCATAGGTGTGTGGTGTGGCTTTTTTCTGTGAACGGTGAGTTTTCCTCACAGGATGGTCCTAGAAATGGAAGTCCTTAGCTTGTAGTAGTTTGGATAGCAGCAAAAATATAGTCAGATTTAAAACTTTCCAATTACCTGATTTCTTGTCCTGGCTCAGGAAGAGGACAGGAGGACAGACAGTCCATATCACGCTGGAAGACTTGATTGTCTCAGGTCACTGATTTTGTAATGACAAGATGCAAAGTCTACAAACTTATGACCTTCTATACTTTCTCTTTGAATAAGATGGAATTGAAAAATGCCCAGGTGTCTTTTTACTGATCAACACATTTCCAAAGGAGTGGGTTGAGTAGGTTGGTAATCCTGAGGCACCAAAAATACCTGCACTTGCACTTGTAAAGGTCCTTGCTCTGGTTCAGTCCGGCCTCAGAGCAGTAGTGCACCCTCTTCCAACCAGGAAATTAGGTGATACATTACCAGCAATCCTCAGTAATGGTCTGAATCTTAAAAAAAAAAAACAAAAAAAAAAAAAACAAAAAACACTTTGGCAGGTTTTGTGTTGTTGCTGTTTGCTTTGGCTTTGGAGTTATCTATTGGCTCATTTGCTTGTGTTTTAGTTGGGGTTTCTTTAAAAAGAGAGATATTCTTTCCTGAAAGATACTAATCTAAAGACAATTTTTGGTTGTTGGTTTGTTTTTAAAATATGTATTATCAATCAAACACAAATATTAACAAATGTGTGAAATAACATAATGTGGACCACATTTTTTACTTTCAGAAAATACAAACTTTCTTAGTAGATTTCTGACTGTCTAAATTTGGTAACATTGTTATTCCAATTATTAAGAACCAAATTCCTTAAGCCTCTCAGTTTGGGCCAAGAGAGATCATGCAAGAAAGTTTTAATAGAAATTACTTGGAATCTGTAGTGCCGAGTTATCATTATTTGGACTTTGCTCAAATCTGGGAAATATAAACAGAGCTTCCCAGGGGACTCCAGGGCAGCCATATCACTCATGTGTGTCCCTCCTTAACTCACCGAGCAATGCTTGTAAAGATAGAAGTACCTCAGAATCAACTTCAGGGGAAAATTTAGGGGGAACTAAAGATAACACCTTGCCACCTGAGCAAGAACACCTATGTTTTAAGAATGGAGATGGTTTTTTTTCATTATTTATAAACATTAGTCTCAGATATTTTTAGCTAGATCAACCTGAAAGGATTTTTTAAATTTTCTGCTGTGATGATAAAATGACATAGAAATGGTGGCATGTTCAAGTGCCTTGAGAATGGTGCCCCTTCCCAAATTTTTATATTCCCAAAATATTGCCATTAAACATGGTTTACTAGATAACATTTCTGGCATATTCTTCTCGGGGGCACTCTGATTTTACCCGCATTTGTTATTATTAATATTAATTATCCTCTTCAATTCTTCATTCAAGGAATGTAGAAGAGGAAGAAAGATTTCCATGTCAAAAAGATTCACTTTTTCTAAATTCATTTAAATTATTATTCATTGGCCTCTAAATAGTGTGTTTATAGTGTTCAAAAGTTCACCCCGTCATATTCATTGCTTTGCTCCTGCATCGTAGTCAGCGGGTAAAGGTTTGAGCCACTGATGGACCAGCTAATGAACACTGGCTTGTGAGTTTCTTTGGAGGTAACATGAGGGGCTTCACCTTTCCAAATTAATTGAACTAGAGGCATAGGAAAGTGTTAGACAGCAGTTGTAACTCACAAGAGTTCCAAAGCTTTCTTGTTTTCTTTTCCTTTATTTTTATTATTGATACTATTACAGATATCCCCGTTTCCCCTGCCCCCTTTGCCCACCTCCACTTCCCTCTGGCCATCACCACACTGTTGTCTCAAAGCTTTTTTTAATGTTTTGCTTTTATAAACAATTTCATTGAAATTTTAACCTATGTAAATTACATTAATAAAAAAGTCAAGGTTACAAAAAGTAATAACTTTTTTAATTCATTCTCCCAGGAGTATATCCTATTGAAGCTATCAAGTATCCTTCTGAGATGGGAGGAAGGGAAAGATATTTCCATGACAAGTAGGAAATGTGCTACATATTTGAACAGTTTCCAAGAGCATTTTACCATCAAAATGTTTCCGGAAAGGTGCAGTCCTTCTCCTTGCTTAGCTGATTTAACTACAAAATCACCATGTATGTGGTGATGAAAAAAAAACAAACCCTGCAACCATACATTCTTGAGTGCCCTCATGTCGATATCATCTCCATCTCCTGGGCTCTCAGCATCTTGCACACACATCTGTAGGCTGCTCTGTGCTCTTTACTGCTCTTACTCCCATCCCGCCTTCAAGACATCTCCTCCCCCGCAACACCCTGTTCTACACTTGAGGGCTCTCTGCCCAAATCGCCCACCTGTTTCCTTGACTGCACCCCAGCTCTCCCCAGGGACCAGCAGGTCTCCTGTGGCACTCCCCATGGAAAGTCCTGCAGCTCTGCAGGTCTGGCTCCAGGGCCTCTCTGACTTTGTCAGCTCCCACAAACTTTTCTTCCACTCTACTCAGCAACCCACACCTCTGGCCACATCTTGGAAATGGTCCCCACTGGCAGGGGTCATTTTGGCTATTTGTAACTAACAATTGGTCACCCTTCCTATATATTAGGCCATGATTCTTTCCTTCAACAAATTCATATTGAGTACTGCATATACTAGCACTGTCCTAGGCAGGCCCTGGTAGTGAACAAAACAGAAAACAATTCCTGTCGCTTGGAGCTTCCATTGTAATGTGGCAAGTCAAAAATAAGATAAATAAGTAAAATATACTGGAGATGGCAATATGTTCTAGAGAAAAAATAAAACAGGAAAGTAGAATGGAGCATACTGGGGTTGCAGTTTTCAATAGGGGACCTGAGGTAATAAAAAAGTAATAAATAATAACTAACCTCTGAGTGCTAACTAGCACAAAGTATATTCTATCTGTTATCTCATTGCATCTGCACAGAAATTAACATAATTTCC